GGTAGCATAGACTCTTAAAAATAGACTAAAAATGTTCAAACAGATTATTTGAATCATGTTTGCACATGTGATTTTAACAAGTACATTGCATATGTCTCACACATGCAAATATCCATCCTTGTTTACAAGTTTTCGGGATGAAAATTTCACATTTAGTTGATGATATAGGATCTATTGGTACCTATAGTTGATCTGTGTGGCCACATTTTGCTATATTCACTCACAATATCTAAAATTGTTTTTCCTTCATGAATAGGATTGCATATAGTAATAAATTTTAATTTGGTACATTGTCATTTGACTTTCCACTATACTGGTATGTATCAATGTGTGCACCAATGATCAACCCTCACCATTCCAACATTGCCTTAAACTTTATGATACATACTCTGTCTGATTATGTATTTTACATGTAAATGGCTAAATATGCTTGTAAAAACTTCATCTATTTTTAGGATGCATATATCACTTTAATACATGCCCAGTGCTTCACATCTCTGAGTGTCACTCTGTCAAGTTTACCTTTTTTTACCCATATTTGCAAGCTGAATGTTATTTTGAAAACACCATATCTAACACATTTTGACTTCATTTGCCTACATCTTCCTTTCTTATAGATTTAAGTGAAACATGTTATATATTTTCAGGTCTAGTCTGGTATCTGAAACAAAGTATTAGAGTTGGATTAATTTGGAAGCTCTCCAGTAGTCCAATGGTGATAGCAATGTCTCATAAAGACATGTGCAGTGTGCTGCTATAAGTGACCAAGATGAGTTCATATCAGTACACTGATATACAGCATCTCAAAGACATGGCTTAGATCTTCATGAGAGAGAGAGAGAGAGAGAGAGAGAGAGAGAGAGAGAGAGAGAGAGAGAGAGAGAGAGAGAGAGAGAGAGAGAGAGAGAGAGAGAGTCGCATCATTTTTCATTAAGTTGAAACTGTATTTTCATATTACATTGTTGATTTTTGTAGTTATCGGCATTAAAATGTAATGCATATTTGCTATAAAACATGGTAGTGGTCCCATCAAAACTTTAAATTTGAGTGGGCTATTAGTTATACAACCAACTGCCCAAATACCTGAAACAATAAATGTGGAACATAGCACCTGTCATTGTTTCTTAAGTATGTACACCTATACGCAGCTGGATAGACCTATTGCAATTTGCCGTTCAAATCACGGTGAGCTGTCATGCTTCAGTACCCCTGGGAAAAGTATTATCAGTTTTACGGACCCAAAATACCATTTGTTTTAAACACCATTCATTTGCTGCCTTAAATTTGTCAAACTGAATGTCATAACTTGTATGAAAATTTAATTTTTTAAAAATAAATAGTTTTTAAAATTTATATATTTATTTAAATTTTCTTTAAAATTTAATATATCAATATTTTTTAATATCAAGAATATTTTCAGACAGGCCTTATCAAGAATTACAATTAAGTTTTTCCTGCATTGAAAAATTCATAAAATTAAGGAAGATATAGCAAATTTAGTTTTTTGTTTCTTAAGAACAATTGGACCTCAAATTTCACCCTATAGAACACCAGCACTACACACTTTCTGACAGCTGTCACATGTCTTGCATGCATGGAAATTTCAAAAGACTTTATGTATGAAGTTGAAACAGTAGTGGCATGCAAAATAAAATGCAAATATACAGTTTGACAAAAATATTGACCCTTTCAGGAATCAGTACACAATTAATAAAATCCGGTTCAGTACCCATGAATGTAGTCCCAGTCTATTTTTAGATCACTTTTTCCTGTCTGAAATTGGTGGTGATACTAGAGTTAGATTTTGGCATTCTTGGTAAGGATTTAAAGGCAATTGTTTATTCTTTAAAATGTGAGCTTATGGTGTGGTTGTCTGTGTGTATTTCGGCGACAGTGCACATTGAGTAATAATGTCATGGTGATGATCCGGAAGTGAAATCTATGTTCCGTTGTCTGGTGTTTTGTTTACAATTCAGCCTCTCAAAAAATGCAGGTCAACCCTTGACAAGAACTAAACCGTAAAGTCATCTTTGAAGGTATTTTAGATTAACATATGATTTGTATTGATTGTTACACAGTGGAAAGTTCAGTATTGAGAAACAAATGTAAAGACAATATTGTGAAATTAATTGTGTTCTAAGGCCATCTATAGTAGTATAGAGAGATGAGGGTTTTGGCCCACCACCACCCTCCCACACCTCCTCCCCCACCCCCGCCAAACCCTCATTTCCCTATACTACTACTACGTAGACAGGTATTTTGTAACCAGACAAAGCAACAGGTGTTGGAATGCGATAGGCTCGGTCAACAGAAGTGACGAATTTGTTAGAACAGCGCATGCGTGGAATATGATTATTCTAAAGACGGCAAATAGGTTTCACCACAAATTTTTTATCAGATAACAGGATGAAAATTAAACCTGTCTACGTAGTAGTAGTATAGGGAAATGAGGGTTTGGCGGGGGTGGGGGAGGAGGTGTGGGAGGGTGGTGGTGGGCCAAAACTCATTTCTCTATACTACTTCTATCTATCTATCTATCTATCTATCTATCTATCTATCTATCTATCTATCTATCTATCTATCTATCTATCTATCTATCTATCTATCTATCTATCTATCTATCTATCTATCTATCTATCTATCTATCTATCTATCTATCTATCTATCTATCTATCTATCTAGCTAGCTAGCTAGCTAGCAATTTGAAAATTAACTTTTAAACAAGTTTTATATGATATCGAACTTAAAATTTTCATAGGTCGCTTTAAAAATTTCTGTCTCTCTATCGGTATATTTTTTAAACTACTAACGCGCGCGGCCCCTGTGAAAGCTGGTACCGAATGGGCTTAATCGGTCCAATCCGTCTAAGAATGAAAAGTAAAATATAGGTACCTAAAACATTCTTTTTATGCGAGGAAATATTTCAACAAGTTCGTGACCTAAGCAAGTCAATAAATGATACATGTGCGAGAGGAGCTTTGAACAATGTTGATAGATGGCTTCAAAAGTACCATTATATGACATACTTTCAAAAAAAATGTAAAACGGTGACAAATTAAAAGGGAGAGTACATACATGCTAAAGACCAATTATGGTAAGTTGATATATTGTGGTTACTATTATGTTCACATGCGACCTGAATGTATGTTCCTTTGAATATATATGCTGGATTGAGATGGTTTCGGTAAGTACGTTATTTAGTGCCAACCGCATTAAAGTCAAATACTTTACTCGTGGGCGTACTAGGGTAGCTGACCCAAACTGTTCTAATGATAGTATTCAAACACGCGCCCTTTCGGTCGGTAGAACTCTTGTAATAAAGGAACTAAGTATGTTCACCCCACCCCAATAGTGCAGCAGATACATACTTATTAATACTCGCTCTCTACCTTCACACACGTAGGCATGTACTTTCTCAAACCCCTCTACGTGTATGTAAGTAATGGACGTCCGCTAACGAATGAAGTCTACTTAAAAAAAATAATACGTTTCCTTTTTGCCCGGTACATGCATAAATATGAAATTAAAAATTTAATAAACAAACACATTCTATTGATCTTTGGTTCTCTTGTCTGATCTTTGGTTCTCTTGTCCTTACTTTTAACTATTTGGTTTCGTGTCGCTGGTCGATAGAATACCTTTTAAATAATGAAAGATATAATTTTTTGTATGACACTAAATAGCCTCATTGTGCTGGTGCGCCGTAAAAATTCAACCAACCATCTCTTGTCCTTTATTAACGCGGTTACCATGTTTACAAATAAGAAGAATTGTGTAATAAAGGTAATAAACTTTTATTATTATATTCTTAAAGATATTAAACGTTTTATCATGCGTGTATACATGTACATATATGAATGCATGTTTCATGTAAAATTCGCAGCTCTGCATCATGCTGGTAAAGATGTATATGTATGACATAAGTTTTACATCTATAAGTTTGTGTGCATGTTATGTATGTGGGGATGTTTTATATGGCTATTATGTTGTACGTAGGTAGGTTAGGTAGATTCGACACATGTCGACTAAAATCTTTAGGTAATTTGGTACAGTTATGTATTACTATAAGCACTAATGTATTAATTGTCTGTATATTTTTAATTTTCCTTAGCATATAACCATTTATGCTTGCTACTAATGTATTATTTCTGTATGACGCAAATAACAACTAGGTGGGAGGGTGGACCGAATGATGTTTATTGTTACTTTATGAGGCATAATGCCATTTTTCTATACATGATAGGTTATACATTGCGGCCAGTATTTTTAATAGAGGAAGAACCCGAGAAAATCCCGGGAAGAAGCACCGAGCAATAGTAAGCTACTGGCAGGGTCGCGGATAGTTTGCGGGCCCTAGGAAATTTCTCCAGTAGACCCTTATTTGTAAATGTCCTCTTCGGCGGTGTCCCCCCCCCCCGAATCTTGTCCTGTATTGCCCACGGCCTTGGCTACTGGTAAGCAATCTCATATACTCACGTTTGTTGATTTGAGACTCGGAACTCGCACGGATAGGGAGATGTGTGCGTGCTACGTAAAGGCGAGCACCTTGTACCATTCAACTATCCAGGCGGGTGGCAGATAAGCATGCTGTCAGTTGAACGTCTAGTAAAAAGTCAGCTTCAAGCCATTATATAACATGGGTTAAACAGCCCCATGCTAGACAAAAGTTACTTATTGTTATACATGAACATTATCATTTGTAAATTAGAGGCTGGTGAAACAAGTATGTTGTATACTTGTTAGATTGGCCGATATTTATAGTAGTGTTAGAGGTCAATGGATATCACAATCAAAAATAACTGGCAAAACTTTTTATGTGTTTGTGTGTCTTATTTGTATTGCAGTTTTAACCATTGTCATAACTCTACGATGTTTGCAATTAATAATGATCGCTAGTAATGAGTGCATCACGTCACACCCAGTCACATTATTTTGACACAAAGATGACTAGTTCTAACACTACCTTCTTAATGCTGATCGTCCATTTTTATGTCTTTTTATGACTGGGCTGGGATTAGAACCCACAACCGCCTGCATCTGAGACAGACGCTATAACCACTGGGCTACCGTAGTGGTCCAGCCTCGTTATAGCTGATTTAGTACTTTTTGCAATGAATCGGGTAGATATCACGGGAGTTTGACAAGCATGTCATGACGACCTATTTGTTTTAAAAAGTTATTGGAGTACCCATTAAAATGGTGGTATCCATTAACCGTCTTGACCACAAATTCAGCAATGTAGAAGAAAGGTGCCAAATGCATAAGCTTAAATAGAATTTGTATCAATTATGCTGTTATCTTATGAAAGAAATCTTATCAGGATATTATTACCATGATCTTCATTTATATATATATATATATATATATATATATATATATATATATATATATATATATATATATATATATATATATATATATATATATATATATATATATATATATATATATGCCTATATTGAAATTTTCATCAAAATTGGATCAGAAATGTTCACTCCAGAATTGGATGCGCACCTCATTATAAGGCATGGTTTAGTTCATGATAATACTCATATGATAGCTGAGTGATAGAAACCCAAATTACAAGTATGATGAAGATTGGATCAAAAATTTCGCCTCCAGAAACACAATAATGTTGCAATCTTGAAGCATACAGAAATTTGTCGCAAACATAATTTGAATACTGAGGCAGATGTGAATGTTATACTTTTTCAAAACTGTTTACACTGTTGATGCTTACAGTGCCATTAGAAAATGATAACCATGTCTTTTACTGCTGAACCAAAACCATTGAGCCAAAAAGCTGACAAAATGGGAAAAAATAAACTAATGAAATTTAAGGTTACACCCTTGTTCCCATAGTCTTGTGATATGGCAAATGGTGGTGGTGTGAAATAAACAAAATATATTTAAAATAGATGGATTTTATTGATATATAATTAGTATAAATATATTCAAGTAACAACTTCGACTTCATTTTTAATAACAAGTGTTTTAATATATATTTAAGGTAAACAAGATTATATGTACATCTACTAATAAAGTTTACTTAATTTTAAAATTTCCATTTAACATATAATTTACTGTCACACTGCTTTGTTAAGGACTATACCTTCTCTTTTTAAAGTGGAAATAATAAAAGAAATAAGTAAACTGTATACTCATAGTTATTTATAAAATGCTGGCACAAATTTATCTGCAGTACATAAGCCCATATATATATATATATATATATATATATATATATATATATATATATATATATATATATATATATATATATATATATATATATATATATATATATATATATATACACACACCACTCCCTCGATAACTCGCGAACATCGGGGTCCAAAGACATCGACCGCGATATAAGCGAGGGCGCTAGTTATCGAGGGACCTATAACAAACAACAAAACTAACAAAGGGATCGACGTATAGGCAAAAGGAAGTGGGGTTGGCTAGGCAGGTTACATTGTTGAATACTCAATTAATAAATGTGCTAAGATTAACAGTAAATAAATATCTCTTCATATCGGTAAATATTATTTTTTGTCCTCAGAAAACATTATTTTCATGATAACTTGCAGTATATTGATCATCAAAACATTATTCCACGTGGTTTTCATTCGTCTAGCGTATGTCCGACATAACGTTTTGACCGCAGATTTGAATCACCCACGCATGCGTGCCCCAGTTCACAGGAGTCTGCAGTTTTATCTATAAAGCACGACGAAATTTTTGGACTACATTAAATTACCTTAACGGTATTATACCGTAATGGTGAAAATAAAGGTTAATTTGCCTGATTGCATTCATGCAATGGTCGTTCGAGAGTGACGAGACGGTACGTTACTGTTTTTTTAATGGATATGTATAGTTTTTCAGTCTTCGTGCGATTCTAAAGGGATAAAAGACGCGTGAGAAAATTTGAATCGAGCGGAGGGTTGTGGTCACTCCTGCATTCCTTTATTTATTGTATAATACCGTTAAGGTAATTTCATGTAGTCAAAAAATTTCGTCGTGCTTAATTGATAAAACTGCAGACTCCTGTGCCCAGTTATACCACGTGACCACGCAGTCGCATAAATGTTATTATTTTGGAATTATTATTCTTAAGATAGTTATTGGTAAAAGTGTAGTAGTATCGCAAATAGAAATATCGGTACATGTACGATGGCTAACTTTCGAAATTCGCAGAGCTAGTCGACTAGAAAAACAACGAGCAAAGATTACTTTGCATTACGAGATTTCAAGGGGTCTAGGTGATCATTGTTCCTAATAGACATTAAGGAATTTCTTTGACATGTTTGTTCGGAAATCAATGGTAACCCTCTGGATTTCCTTAAAAGAGCGCGCAAGGTACCGAGCATTTAGCACCCACATTCAATAGTTATCGTCTACAAAGAGGTTTATTACCAGTAGAACAAATGTTTTAACCTTGGTATATAATACCTCGGGGATAACGGTTGGTCCGGTTGCACAAGGCCCAGGAATTTTATTAATCCAAACAGACAGTCCGATGTATGGTTTATTTATATTACGCAGAGATCTGGTTTCTAATTATAGCCGTAGCGGTCACACCTGTTTGAAGTGGTTGGCGAGTGGGGCGATTTTTTTTGATTTTTTTTATTTTTTTTTATTTTTACAGGTACTCGCGTTTACGTTTCGAAATCCGGGTTTTTCTATACCGGTTTACCCGATGACAGCCCTAGATACATTACTGATATTATATACATGTACTTTAATGATGTTAATACGTAAAATGTGAAAACATTTTCGATTGGTGAAGTAAAATTAAATTTGATAACGGTAATGAATACGAGAACTTAAGCTCCTATTGGCATGCCTTTGAACTTTCTTTTATTGTACTGACCTAGTTAGATTTGATGCAAAATACATATTCAAAGTGATAAAACAACACCAGTCTCTTTTAATTGGTTCTTTTATTGTATCAAACACTTCCCACGCCGTTGATCAAAACAAAGCCGGCATGCAATTAGGTTCTCTCGGAAGTACTCGCGGGTTTCGATGTGACAGTTGACTGACTCTTTTCATGCTTTCCTATAAAAGAATAGGTATTTTGCGATTATAGGGTGGAGACAAAATTAAAGGATTATAATGAGAATTTCACCTAGCCAGACCTTTAATTAGTGTCTATTTATTCTCTGTTGCCGCATGTTAACATTTACAATAATTTTTCATTGAGCACTGTTTATTTACAATTTACAGTGTATTAACAACTATTTCTCTATTAAAAAAAACATGGGATATCTTTTTAGAAATTGCAAATTTCACAATATGGTTTCTATCTTTACGGGCAATAATCCGGGCAATAATCACCATTTTCGATGATAAAAACGAGTTATATATCAAGGTTTAATTTACCAATTTACCATTTCTTATCACGACATTTTTCACGTTCAACACATTTTAAAATATATTTTCTTTTAAAAAATCGGGAGCCATGCCGTACACCGCGTTATAAGCGGGTTCGCGAGTTATCCTGGCGCGAGTTATCGAGGGAGTGGTGTGTGTGTGTGTGTATATATATATATATATATATATATATATATATATATATATATATATATATATATATATATATATATATATATGAACTTTATTATAAACTGGTTCACACATTAAATATGACCACAAATATGTACAAACACATTCTAAATATGTTTACTGTTCAGCACCGGTGAATATTTTTTTTCTTCAAGTTAACACCTCACAAGGTTATATTATAAATACAACTCATACATTCGACTTTCATACCTAATATACATGTCAATTTTCCTGCAAATTCATACATCACAAATTTGCTTACTGCCCTCCACAAGTATAGATTTATGAAATTAACATCTCCAAAGGTTACATTACAAAGGCAACTATAAAAGATACATATAAACTTTACAGCATACTCACTCTTTGGCGCAAATATCTAACAAATACTTAACTTAATGATTCTGACACAAACTTTTATACCTGGTAACTATAACAATATGTGTAAGTAAACACATGTACACATCACAAACTTGTTCAAATGTATCACCTTACTGCACAAGTAAAGAAAATGGACACACACATACACACACACACACACACACACACTTTAGCCTCATCCTAAGTACACATAATCACAAGAATATGAAAGGCATAAAGACTTCCTAGGAAAGTGACGTTAAGTGGATATGACTAATAACAAGTCTATGATTCATACAAACTTTACTACATTGATTTAAATCCTTCACAAATAGACATTAGTTATGTTATTAACAACTTAACATCAGCGACAAAAAAGACGATGAAAACGAAACTGATCAGGTGGAATATAAATATTTATATCATATTTGTCAAAACTTTCTTATTTTGACAATAATTTTGGTTTACAACATGTACGCATATTTTGTAAATTGTTTTGCAAATAGGTGAATAGGAGGTGAGGGAAGTGGCGGGGTGGAGCCGGCGCTGTCCCTGCTCCCCCTCCATAATTACATGGAGGAAGCTGCGACAATTAAGTTGGTAGACGCTTGTAATCCTTAGGTCGTGCGTTCCAAACTCTCTCATGTTTGCCACATTGAGTCCTTGGGACAGACACTTATTGCTCACATTTTCGTCGCATGATCTAGCTTAAGAATTTGTTAAAAGTAGAGGTAAAACAGCAAAATCATACACACGTACAAGCACAGTAGCAACAACAAAAACTATAGCCCAGAAAGGTATGAAATGCAGGAGCTTCTGGTGACTTCACCTACTGTGCGCCCACTTAGGGGGTTGGGGTGTTGGCTCTCCCACGGAATCCTCGTCTACTTGTTTATACCACCCCGACAATCATGTTCTGGATCCGCCCCTATCGCCTTATATTTGTTATATAGTATCAAGATATCGGTTATCGTTTCTTTCTTTTAAAATTGATATCTTGATAATAGGACTGTATCTTTCTATTGTCATATACCTAATCCTAAACACATAAGGGATTTACAAATCTTGTAAACGTTAATTTAATTTAATTTTAATGATGTTTTCTTACCTAAAATTTGTCTATCTTTCCACTTAACGTCCAATGATCATGA